GTAGTCTCTAATCTAAATAATATAACTAAGTGGCAGATCTCAAGAAAAATTACATTCAAAGAGGTGGGGGGGGGAGAAATTATTTAAACAAAGCATCTTAACTTTTATTAAAGAAAAGGAACTTAAAATATGGATTTATTTTCGTTTAGTATATTTTTACAGAAATTTTCTTTATAGTATCTACCGATACTATTAAAAAAAATAATAAATCTATATGTTAAATTCCTTTCCTTTACAAAAAAAGTTTCTAAAAGTTTAAATGTGTTTTGTAAACAATAGCTTGTTTTTTTTTATCTCCATTAAAAGGTAATTTTTCTTGAAATATACAGCACAAATTAAAAAAAAAAATTTATTTTTGGTTTTATTCCATTTATTATACAAATTTATTCAAATTCTTTTAGCCAATTTTCTTAATGTGAATAAAAAAAGTCTATATTTCGCTAACACAAAATCTTCTAAATTTCAATGACAAAAATAGAATTTTCTGAATTTATTAAAAACCATCCTTTAAGAAATTCGGTACCACAATTCCTTTCAAATAAACTTCAAACTTGTCAGTTTTGTGAAGTTGGGATGTTACCTTAATACTTAAACATCTTCAAAAATTGCAAACGTTAATTTTCACTTTTTTATTAAAAAAAAATTAAGAGTATTTCCTTTAAGCTACGCTAATTTGCTTGACTTAAATATATAGGTATATACATAAAAAAAATTCCTTTTTTAAGTTATCTAGACTATTCAAAACGAATAGAGGAGTTAAACAGAATAAAGTTTGTGAAAATAGATTAAGTAGTTTATATCACAAAACTACCTCAAAATTGGACATTTTAGCAAAGTTTTGTAGTACAATGCTGATGATTTATATTATAAGTGTATTTAATTATTATTATACATACTTTAGATTTTTTTTAATATAAAGATTTAATATCTATACAATATTTTATACATGCTTCTTATATTAGGTCCTGTTACCAGTATAATCACGCATTATATTTCTCAACGAAAAGCTTGTATGATAGGGGGAATAATATGTACAGTAGGTGTTGCAGGTTGCTATTTTGCAGACAGCATAATGTGGATAAACATATTTTATGGGGTAATTCATGGTGAGTAAACTTTTTATATATATCACTAATAAACTTTGTTAGATAAAGTTTTGTCAGGAATAGTTTTTTCTTTTCTTTTTGTCATGTATAGTTTTTAATCTATCGTCAATGAGTTTTTTATCCCGAACATAAGAGGTGAGCTCAGGCTCGCTTTTGAATGGAGGTCCGATCCCAAGATGCACTGGATTACTTAGAGCTCAAAATATAAGTCGATTATTAAATTACAAATTTAGGCAATCTCGTCACTTGGCCTTTGATGTGAAAATAAAAACTGGATAATCTGAAATTCAAGACGATTAAAACAAACATTAAAAAAAGAAAACAATAGAGCTAGCCTCACAAAGCAAAAGCATAAAACAGAAATAGCGGTTAGCTGTAAATTTTTATACACAATAACTAAACCAAACGTTTGTTTAAAAAGAGTAAAAAAGTTGATGAAAATTTTATCATGAATTTGAGCCTGCCAGAAACCTTTTTTCAGTAAACGAGCCGAGCTGAGCTCTTCTGATCTCTACCGGAAAACGCGTGTTTAAGAAAATGAAAACAGCACAAAATTCCTGTTTAAAACGATAGACAGCAAAAAAAAAAAAAAAACTTTTTAATATTTAACTTCAGTTTAACAACTAAATGAGGAATTTCATTCTCACATTTTTAAACATTAGCATAATCATCATGGGGCTGGTATATTACAGATGTATTTTTAACAGGCGATCTCTTGGTATTCAGATTACTAAACGATAAAGTGGATTTTAAAGATCTTGTGCAAAGTAAATTTAATATTATTATTATATAATTATAGAACCCGTGACAACCATGTAAAAACAATTGTTAACTTTAAAAATATTTTCAAAAGACAAATTAAAAAAAATGCATTACATGATTTAGTCATCACATTGCAAATTTATTTGGATCCATTAGTTTATTCTTTAAAAAGATTAATTTAATATTCATTTAGAGAAGAAGATGAATATTAATTTCAAAAAATTAATATTCATTTAGATAAGTTCGAAAATCGGAATAATGTTATGTCCATTTTCTTAATCACCCATTTTGAGCTGCTTTCATTTTCTTAATCACCCATTTTGAGTTGTGTTCATTTTCTTAATCACCCATTTTAAGCTGTGTTCATTTTCTTAATCACCCATTTTGAGTTGTGTTCATTTTCTTAATCACCCATTTTGAGCTGTGTTCATTTTCGTAAGCACACATTTTGAGCAGTCTCCAAAATAAAAAGATCATCAATGATATATTTATATCATCATGGTAACAGCATGCAAATGATTTGGCTTATAATAAGAATTATATTAGAGAAACAGCTAAACATTAAAAAAATTATATAATAGAATATTGCTTAGAATTTTTGTATCTATTGTCAATAGATACGTAATTTTTTTATTGGGTCTCAGCCACACAAGACTTATGATTAAAGCTCTAAATACATTTTATATCACAGCATGCAAGTAGTTCAATACTTTATATGAAAAAAATCTTTCTAACTATATCTTGAAGATATATTTATCAAGAATTCATGTTTATTTTAAGTTTTTATTATTCTTTGTTTATCACGTTTTTAGCACAACATATGTTTATACGTTTAATATGCTTAAAAACCATTTACTCAAATAACATGACATATTGGTAAAATTTTAATTAATCATGTTAAATGTGAATATTATCAATTCTAATTTTACCAAGATTTTTTTTATTCATGTTCAAAAGAAAGTTGCACCGTTTATTTGTAAAGTTTAACAATAAAGATACAAAAATGATTAAAAAATGTTTTTGGTTTACAACTATGTAGCAGACACAAGAATATTTTTCCTTATGCGTGAAAATTAGAGAGCTATTCTGACTGTCTGTACATTTTAATTTCATCACCCTCAAAAATTGGTCCCCTGAGACGCCAATGGACTTACTGTCAAAAAAAAAAAAAAAAATTGAATTAAAAAAAAATTTCACTGTGGAAAATATAAGTATTAGTGGGCACCCTGAATACTGTGTATCATTGTTTCTCGCCAAAACCCATGAACCTTGCACTTTGACGATTGACAGACTCTTGCTTTTGGCGTGGTTTAATGATATGTATAGCATGTTGAATTCCATAATAAAGTTTTTATCTTTATCCTTTTTTTGTTGCAGGTTTTGGATTTGGGATGCTTACTACCTTATTAATTGTGATACTCAACCAATATTTCGTGAAATNCGGGATAGCCTGGTCGGTAGGGCGCTGGGCCCATATCCAAGAGGTCGTGGGTTCGATCCTCGCCGGCCGAAGACTCCCCGTGTCGTAAATGGTGACTGATGCACGTTAAATCTGCCGAATCACAAAGTCCTCCATGTTCCCATAACAAATCAATACCTCTGGGGGTACTGATCCAGGAGTTTCCTTGTCTTCTGGATTGATTCAAAATTACGAGGCTACGGAGTTGAACATTAATGGTTGTAAACCCAAAAATTGGGTCGGCTGTTCAACGACGGATCTAAAAAAAACAACGCATTTTGAGCCGCGATGGTTCAGGGGATAGAGCATTCGCCTTCCAATGAGGCGAACCGGGTTCGTATCCCAGTTGATACGAATTCCGCATTTGGCTTGCACCAACCATAGCGCTGACGTAAAATATCCTCAGTGGTAGACGGATCATGGTTTGGTGTCCCCTTGCCGTCAGGCTAACCGTGGGAGGATCTCGTGGTCTTCCCCATGTAACGCAAATACGGGTTAGCTCCATCAAAAAAAGTAATCCACGAAGGCAAATTTCTCCCAATACTGGATCCAGGAGTTCCCTTGCCTTCTGGATTAGGTTCCAAATTACAAGACTACAGAGTTGAATATTAGTAGTCGTAAACCCATAAAATTGGGTTGGCCGTTCAACGACGGTTATAAAATAATAATAATAATAAAAAAAAAACGCATTTTAACTTTTATTAAAGAAAAGAAACTTAAAATATGGATTTATTTTTGTTTAGTATATTTTCACAGAAGCTTTCTTTATATCGATACTATAAAAAAAATAAATCTATATTTTAAATTCCTTTTCTTTAAAAAAAAGTTTAAATGTGTTTTGTAAACAATTGCTTGTTTTTTTTTTTTTTAACCCCCATTGAAAGATAATTTTTCTTGAAATCTACAGCACAAATAAAAAAAAAAAAGTTTTATTTTTGGTTTTATTCCATTTATTATACAAATTTATTCAAATTCTTTTAGCCAATTTTCTTAATGTGAATAAAAAGTCTATACTTCGTTAAAACAAAATCTTTTAAATTTTAGGGTCAAAAGTAGAAATTTCCGAATTTATTGAAAACCATCATTTAAGAAATTCGGTACCACAATTCCTTTGATAACTAAATATTCGTCAAATAAACTTCAAACTTGTCAGTTTTGCGAAGTTTGGATGTTTCCTTAATACTTAAACATCTTCAAAGATTTCAAACTTTAATTTTCACTATTTTATTTAAAAATAAATAAATAAGAGTATTTCCTTTAACCCTTTGTTTACGGTGCTTTGTATGATGAAGCCCGCCTTTCTGGTCCACCTGTTATACTAGCCGTAAGAAAAAGGTTAAGCTACGCTAATTTGTTTGACTTAAATATAAGAAAAAGAGTACTTTTTTTAAATCATAATCTATGCGTTGATTAATTAGCTAAGGACTAACATTGAAGTTATCTAGAGTATTCAAAACGAAGAGTAGTTAAGCAGAACAAAAATTTCTGAAAATCGATTAAGTAGTTTATCGCAAAACTACCTCAAAATTGGCCATTTTAACAAAGGTTTTGTAGTACAATGCTGATGATTTATATAACAAGTGTATTCAATTATTATATATACTTTACAATGCTTTTATATAAAGATTTAATATCTATACAATATTTCATACATGCTTCTTTTCTTGTATTAGGTCCTGTTACCAGTATAATCACACATTATATTTCTCAACGAAAAGCTTGTATGATAGGGGGAATAATATGTACAGTAGGTGTTGCAGGTTGCTATTTTGCAGATAGCATAATGTGGATAAACATATTTTATGGGGTAATTCATGGTGAGTAAACATTTTATGTTCATCACTAATAAACTTTGTTAGATAATGTTTTCAGGGAGTTAAAAGGGTGCAAAATCCCCCATAAAACCAGGATTTTATAGCAGTGTCTTACCATTCTTACCATTGATGTACTTGAAAATCAAAAAAGATGAAGTGTTGATATTTGCTTACATGGTTTAATTTTTTAAAAATATTTTTAGTTTTTTTTTTATATTTATCGTCAATGAGCTTTTTATCCTGAGCATAAGAAATGAGCTCAGGCTCGCTTTTGGATGGAGGTCCGAGCCCAAGAAGCACTGGACTACTTAGAGCCCAAAATATAAGTCGATTATTAAATTACAAATTTATGCAACCTCGTCACTTGGCCTTTAATGTGAAAACAAGGGAATTACTAAATTAAAACCTTTTCTATCGCTAACCTGTGAAAGAAAAAGCGAGGATAAAAACTGAACCATCTGAAATTGAAAACGATTGAAACAAAAATTAAAAAAGAAAACAATTAGCGATAGCCTCATAAAGAAAAGCATCAAAAAGAAATAGCTGATCGCTGTAAAGTTTTATACCTTATAAATTTTTTATACTTAATAACCAAACCAAACGTTTGTTTAAAAGTAGATAAAAAGTTGATGAAAATTTTATCATGAATTTGAGCCTACCTGAAACTTTTTTTCAGTAAACGAGTCGGGCTGAGCTCTTCTGATCTCTGCAAGAAAACGCGTGTTTAAGAAAATGAACACAGCACAAAATTCCTGTTAAAGACAATAGACAGCAAAAAAAAAAAAAAAAAATTTTAATATTTAACAACTAAAAGAGGAATTTCGTTCTCACTTTTTTAAACATTAGCGTAATCGTTATGGGGCTAGTATATTATAGATGTATTTTTTACAGGCGATCTCTTGGTATTCAGATCACAAAACGATAAAGTGGATTTTAAAGACCTAACAAAGTAAATTTAATATCATTATTATAAAGTTATAGAACCCGTGTCAATCTCGTAAAAACGGTTGTTAACTTTAAAAATATTTTCAAAAGACAAATTAAAAAATGCATTAAATGATTTAGTCATCACATTACAAATTTATGTGGATCCATTAGTTTATTCTTTTAAAAAAAGAACAATATTCATTTGGAGAAGTTCGAAAAACGTAATAATCTTATGTCTATTTTCTTTATCACCCATTTTGAGCTGTGTTCATTTCCTTAATCACCCATTTTGAGCTGTGTTCATTTTCTTAATCACCCATTTTGAGCAGTCTCCAAAATAAAAAGATCATCAATGATATATTTATATCATCATGGTGTAACAGCATGCAAATTATTTGGCTTATAATAGGAATTATATTACAGAAACAGCCAAAAATTTAAAAAATTATATAATAGAATATTGCTTAGAATTTTTGTATCTTTTGTCAATAGATACGTAATTTTTTTTATTGGGTCTCAGCCACACAAGACTTATGATTAAAGCTCTAAATGCATTTTATATCACAGCATGCAAGTAGTTCAATACTTTATAACATATATAAATGAATACAATCTTTCTAACTATATCTTGAAGATATATTTATCAAGAATTCATGTTTATTTTAAGTTTTTATTATTCTTTGTTTATCACGTTTTTAGCACAACATATGTTTATACGTTTAATATGCTTAAAAACCATTTACTCAAATAACATGACATATTGGTAAAATTTTAATTAATCATGTTAAATGTGAATATTATCAATTCTAATTTTACCAAGATTTTTTTTATTCATGTTCAAAAGAAAGTTGCACCGTTTATTTGTAAAGTTTAACAATAAAGATACAAAAATGATTAAAAAATGTTTTTGGTTTACAACTATGTAGCAGACACAAGAATATTTTTCCTTATGCGTGAAAATTAGAGAGCTATTCTGACTGTCTGTACATTTTAATTTCATCACCCTCAAAAATTGGTCCCCTGAGACGCCAATGGACTTACTGTCAAAAAAAAAAAAAAAAATTGAATTAAAAAAAAATTTCACTGTGGAAAATATAAGTATTAGTGGGCACCCTGAATACTGTGTATCATTGTTTCTCGCCAAAACCCATGAACCTTTTACTTTGACGATTGACAGATTCTTGCTTTTGGCGTGGTTTAATGATATGTATGGCATGTTGAATTCCATAGTAAAGTTTTTATCTTTTCCCTTTTTGTGTTGTAGGTTTTGGATTTGGGATGCTTACTACCTTATTAATTGTGATACTCAACCAATATTTCGTGAAATATCGTGCCACAGCGATTGGTTTTGCATTTTCTGGAGGATCAGTTAGTACATTAATATTTCCTTTGGTCATGGAATGGTTACTGTACAATTACAATCTTAAAGACAGCTTTTTGTTGTTAAGTGGAGTGATTATGAACACTATTGTAGCATCTGCTTTGTTAAAAGCACCTCCATGGATGAAAAAGGCTAAACCGAAAAAAAATTCCATAGAAAAGGCCTGTGAAGAAAGGGACTCTGGTGTTTCTACATCTGGTGGCAATGAAACGAAACATTCCACAACAGCAACACTAATTCCCTTAGCCCCTAAAGCTGAGCCAGAAGATTCTGAAATTGACGAACTAGATGGCAACCAAAATAACTCCATTAAAATGTTAAGCCATGGGAATAATCTTCCCGACCAAGATAACGCTGTCTTGAAGGAGGCATTACCAGATGGTATTAAAAGCTTGGATACTGTAGGCAGCAATAACGACAGTGTTCTGTTTGGCGGTTCATATTCAAAGCTCAATGTCATTTCTGGCACACACGAGAAGCCAAAGAATGGCGAAATCACTAAAAATATTGAAGAGCAAACTCAACTATTAGATAATAAGCAAATTTTTGTAATGAAAAAGAAAGAAAAAGTTTATGATGAACCAATACTAGATACAGGTATTAAACACTCTTTGTCTACTATATTAAGAAATCCAGCTTTCTATAAAATAGCTATTACTATGTGTGTTTATTTTCTTGGAGTGCATGCTACATTTATGGTTATAGTAGATTTTGCCAAAGACAAAGGCATACCTGAAGAGAAAGGAGTTTACATCATATCAATGTTTTCATTAACCGACTTAATCGGTAGAGCTGGCTTAGGTTGGGTGACTGATCGTAATTACGTACAAAGAAAGGATGTGGTGTGCCTTAGTTTAGCTATTTTAGGGATTATTTATCATTTGTATCCCGTCATAAATGAATTGTCTGGTGTATTGGTATTAGCAGCAATTCAAGGTTTAGCAGTTGGTTGTTCAATTACATTGTTTTTTGTTATTCAAGCTGACAACTTGGGGTTGAAGAACCTAACATTAGTGATTGGATTAACAAATTTTATTACTGGAATTAGTACTTTGTTACGCCCAAGTATTATAGGTAAGATATTTTTTTTTTGTTGGTTTTCTTTCTCTTTCCTATCAAATTGTAGTATATTCCATTCATTGAATAATAAGCAAATTTTAGGTTGAAAATTAAACAAGTTTTTTTCATGCAATTATAGAAAATTTAGTAAATATACTACGCTTGTTTAGCTAGAAAAAAATTGACATAAAAAACAGCAAAATATTTATTTTAGGCTTTATAAGGCCAGAAAATTGCTTTTAAAATCTTTACTTTCGTACCAACTACTACTTATTTTTATTGAACTAGAAAATGACAAATATCTGAACTAAATTAAAACTTAGCATTAGAAAATCAGCATCTAAAATAAATTAAGTAAATTTTTAGTTTCTTAAAATTTATTACACGCTCTTTCTTAGTTTGTTATTCTTTATGAGGGACATTCTCCATGCTCTTAATTACCCTAGCAACAGTTTTAACTTGGAAGCTGGGCTCAATATAGGTCCTATAAGATCATGCACCAAGGTACCAATATTGGGATGTCTAGATTTTTTAATATTGGTCCTAGAATGGCTTTTAATATTGGGTGATAACAATTCTATATAAGGGTGATATTGATTGAAAAGTGGTTGTAAAATATCAGGTCAAATGGACAATTCTATATAAGATACTGGTGGAATAATGGATATAAAATATTTGGTTAATCTAACAATTCTATTTAAGGCTGATATCAGAAAAAAATAGGCATTGAGTCAAGATTAATGAATGTTGGTTCAATGAGGGCTCAAGTTGTTTTGCTGCTAGGTTAGTAGAAACCATGCTCTTAATTTGCGATCTTTTATCTTTCAAAAAATTTATTATATTTAAAAATAATTTGTAACTACTTCCTATCAAAAATTTCATGACTTTTTAATGTACTTCATATACTTTTTTTAAAGTTCACTAAAGTATTACCTTTTAGGTTTTCAAGGAAAAATATGCATAAAAAATAGTAACAAGTTAAAAGATATAGCATGTATATAAGTACATGAGGATTTAATCCGTTAACTGTTTTTAACATATTATGCGATGTATTTCGTGCACACAGTTTTTGACATCATGTAAAACTTCAGTTTAATCCTTTCATTTCATCATGTTTTTGATCATTTTGTTCTCTACACCTCCCTTGTAGATTTTAAAGATTGCTTGTAAAAAGAGATAGAAAAAAAATAAAAATACAAACAGCATTAAAACAGGTAAGGGGTTAATATTCCATAAATATAGTACTTAGCGTGATTTAACTATAACTTTATTTTTTTATGTAGTTAAAAACATCCAGAGCAATATATAAAAAAATTTATCGAATAAAAATGTAGCATGAAGTTTGCAGGCTTCTACATTGATAAATTGTGGGAAAAATGAGTACATTCTGTACTCCACACTCATTCCATTCTGTATTGACTGAAAAAGACTTCTCTTTTTCAGGTTTATTTCGAGATGTGATAGGTTCTTACAACTGGATGTTTCACGCTATAGGAGCTTGTAATTTGATATTTGCTTTGATTTGGTTCATAGAATCTTGTAGGACTAAGGAAAAATACAAAAAAGCTATCTGTGATGAAAAAGATGTGATATGAAAAGTTATAGATGTGCATTATGTATAAACATATTTACAATTCTACTTATTTTTTTAGTACATGTTTTACACATTTCTGCAAAGCAAATAACTTTGGAGAATATAGTTAATAAATTCTTGTTATTGTCTAAATAATGTCTAATAATGTTTGTGTTGTCTAAATTGAAACATATGACTTCAAAGATTTTCAAAATACCATTTAAGAATTTTAAATGCATTGCATCAGACATAATTTCTAGCACCCTTAGATTTTGTTATCCTTAAAATATGTTTTGTTAACTTTTCAAAGTAAGGTTGGCACAGTATAATGGTTTCTAGTTAACTTTAAACAATAGCTAGTCACATAAGTTTCTATGCATCTGCATTGTATTTATTATTATTTTCTTTTTTGAGAACAGCATTTTCTCAAAAAACAGTTACATTTCAAAATTTAGATATTCTTTTATATTTCCATGATTAGAACATTCAGAATTTTAATAGTGTATAAGATTTATATTGTTTGTTACATACTATTTGTGATAGAAGTTTAACAGCTTTAAAAATATATAATCAACATATTTCTACCTTTCTAAAGGGTACTTCTTCAGGAAGCCTCTTGTAGATCTTTCTTATCCTTAGCTTAATTTCTACTCATTATTTAGTGTAGTTCAAGAATACAAGTGCGGTCATGTTAGTTTTCAGTCCAGTTTTTTCTTTTATTGCATTGCGTGCATTTAAATATTAAAACTAATAAATTATGTTACACAAACTTTCTGAAGTTATTTAAAAACACGCAAAACAAAACTGAGACATAATAGGTATTATACTTATAAGAATTTATTAATAACTAAGTTACTTAAAATATTCTTTTTAAGCCAAACAGAATACAATGTCAAATATATGGGCAAATCTCTAGAACCTTTAACTTTTTGATAAAAAAAAATATATATAGGTACACTATTTTAAACCTCTAGGTTTGTTTGAAAATGTATGAAATATCAGAAAATAATCGTGAACATCGAAAATTTCGATGCCCTTATAAGNTTGTAAAAAGAGATAGAAAAAAAGCAAATAGCATTAAAACAGGTAAGGGGTTAATATTCCATAAATATAGTACTTAGCAAGATTTAACTATAACTTAATTTATTTTATGTAGTTTAAAATATCCAAAGCAATTTAACGGATAAAAATGTAGTGCAGGCTTCTAAATTGAGTAATTGTGGAAAAAATGAGTACATTCTGTACTCCACACTTATTCCATTGTGTATTGACTGAAAAAGTCTTGTCTCTTTCAGGTTTATTTCGAGATGTGATAGGTTCTTACAATTGGATGTTTCATGCTATAGGAGCTTGTAATTTGATATTTGCTTTGATTTGGTTCATAGAATCTTGTAGGACTAGGCAAAAATACAAAAAAGCTATCTGTGATGAAAAAGATGTGATATGAAAAGTTATAGATGTGCATTATGTATAAACATATTTACAATTCTACTTATTTTTTTAGTACATGTTTTACACATTTCTGCAAAGCAAATAACTTTGGAGAATATAGTTAATAAATTATTGTTATTGTCTAAATTGAAACATATAAATTCAAAGATTTTCAAAATACCGTTTAAGAATTTTAAATGCATTACATCAGACAGAATTTCTAGCACCCTTAGATTCTGTTATCCTTAAAATATGTTTTGTTAACTTTTCAAAGTAAGGTTGGCAAAGCATAATGGTTTCTGATTAACTTTAAACAATAGCTAGTCACATAAGTTTCTATGCACCTGTATTGTATTATCATTATTTTGAGAACAACATTTTCTCAGAAAACACATTTCAAAATTTAGATATTCTTTTATATTTTTATGATTAGAACATTCAGAATTTTAATAGTGTATAAGATTTATATTGTTTGTGACAGAAGTTTAACAGCTTTAAAAATATATAACCAGCATATAAATATAGAACCAACATATTTCTACTTTTCCTAAAGGGTACTTCTTCAGGAAGCCTCTTGCAGATCTTTCTTATCCTAAGTTTAATTTCTACTCATTATTTAGTGTAGACCAAGAATACAGGCGCGGTCATGTTAGTTTTCAGTCCTGTTTTTTCTTTTATTGCGTTGCATGCATTTATATATTTACACTAATAAATTATGTTACACAAACTTTCTGAAGTTATTTAAAAACACATAAAACGAAACTGAGACATAATAGGTATTATACTTATAAGAATTTATTAAAAGTTAAGTTACTTAATATATTCTTTTTAAACCAGAATACAATAACAAATATATGCTTACTAAATTGTAAAGATGCCAATAGTGTGACGAAAAGAAATTTGTCATTCAAAAAGGAATCAAGCACACAATCTCCCCTCAAATTATACATAGCATCAACAATATTTTAACAATTTTGAAACATAAAATGTTTCTCAGAAATTGTAGAGAATAAATACTATACAATTGCATACCGACTATATACATGGTATTCCATAAAATCTGCCCTAAATATATGTTTTCAATATCTTTATCAAAAATGGCATTGAAATATAACAAATCATGACTGAAGAAGGCAGAACTGTAAATGTATAACTATTTGATTGCTGCAAGAATATAAGAACAAAAGGCAATTATTAGAAACACCTAAATTTCATCAAGCATTCAAACTGGCTTTGATGTTTTTAATCCTGCTGCCCCCACAAGTAATCTAGAAGTTTCAATATTTTCTCTCTTAAGCATTAATTTGTAAAGCTTAACCCCTTAACAATCGGTTAATTTTCAAGAAAACGGTTGTTATAAAAGAGTCAGTTTTTTTTAATCCCTGAAAATCGATTAGTGCTGACATCTAGTTTAAAATAAACTAACTATCTACAATTAACTTAAAAATATCCCGTTACTGTCATCTGGTGTGTAAAATGAGAAATAAAATGTTTTTCGAGCAAAAGAAATGAATTAGCTTTATTCGTATTGGCGCGTCACTACTGAACACTCCAGCCCAGAAATAGCACGGGAGCGAGAAATAGAGGGCGAAACCTTACACCGTCATTTTCACAAGAGAGAGAAGGAAGGGGTTAATATGCTTATTTTTAATAAGATCAGTCATCACTGAACCCCTAATAAATTTAATCAATTGATACACAACTAACCCTTTTCTCTTTATCTACTCTCCTAAAAAAAGAATAGGCCAACTTTCAAATTTTTTAAATAGCTTTGAAGATTTTTCTTTAATTTCATTTTTTTTAAACCTTTAAATGTTTAAAGGAAGAGGCTATAAATAATACACAAACTATACAGATATTTCACAATTTCAACACATAAAATAAGTATTTTGGAAATTATTAAAACAATTCAGCATCAAATATTTTTTATTATATCTTTCTTCTTTATACTATATTTAATATAAAGCAAAATTTCGTCACCTGTTTAAAGTGATATTTTTGTACAAAAATATATTGTAGATACTCAGTTCCATAAAGAACTATCACATTTGTTTTGATTTAGTTAAATACAAGAGAAAATAAAGATCAAGATCAGTTACTTTAAATAAATTATTATGTACAAATAAATAAATGCAAACTTTTTTTTTGCAGCAGGAAATGTTTAACCATCAAGTTAATTTTAATACTTTTAGCTTTCATCACCACTTGAATCATTTTCTTCATCTAGCTCTTCCATAGGAAATCTAAGGATAGCAGCAAGTCCAGATAACTGGTCTAATTCTGAAAAGAAAGGAAAATAAATCATTTCTAATACTTAACATGTTTTGGACAATAGTAAAATGGAGCTTAACACACTGAAAAAAATATTCACATTTTTAGTATTATTTATAATATTGATTTTCTTTTTAATTTTATTCATTTGAATAAATTTGAGAATATACAGGTAAACAGGAGATAGTCGTAAAAAACAGGAGACTTGGCAGGTATAAATATGAGTTCTATGACAAAAGATAACCTTAATGATGTTTTTCCTCTTCTTTGCATTAGACACAGTTTATGACATAATTTCATACCTTGAACACTTTGCACAATTTCTGAGTTTAGCTCAGAAATTGTAAACAGCTCAATATAGTTTTTTCTAGTCGTTTTTCGTTATTACAATCTAATTAAATATTAAGTCTCATAGTAAATTTTTGAAAAATGAATAAGTGCAAGGTAATTACAGTTTTTAGAATTTTCTTTCAGTTATTCAGAGTGCATCTAATTATATTTTAAAATCTAGTCACAAGACAAACTAAAACAAATAGGAACCTTTTTCTTTTATTGAAAGAAAAGGACATAGTTGAAATTCATAAATAATTTTATTGCAAAAGAATAGTAAAATATGATACTTTTTAGAGTAATTTTATCAATAATGAACAACTCTTAACAGTTTCAAATCAATGGATGGAAAATTTTTAAACTACTGCTTCATTATTAATAGAAAAAACAGTATCAATTAGATAATTTCAAATTTTAACTATATATTGGTAGATTAAGTTCAAAATTTTCTTAAATAATTTTAAAGTAGGGTTTCAGTAATCTTGAAATGAAAACACAATGAGCAACCATTCAACACTTTTGTACAAAAGTAATTTCAATGGATGACCCCTCAATTCATCATATGAAAATTCTATGATATGATTACTGTACTGCTGATTGAATCAATAATTGTGCAACTATATAAGCCCATCCTACAAAATTTGTTACTGAATTTGCTTAAAATAATAAATGCTGATTACTTAAAATAATAAATGCAATTTTGCTAAAAATATGATCTCTAAATTCATTATCAGAAAAATCTGTTAACATAAAATTATATAGAAGATCTTTTTTTATAGAATAACTGAATTTCTGAAAAGGTTTAAACAATGAATGCTGTGGATAAGGCAATATGTTTGAACCTTGTATATAATTGTTAGACAGTTCCTTAATTGGAACTATCAAATTTAGTGAATTTTACTAATTTATTAAAGAAAATAAAAGTTAATTTTTTAATTTGTATTCTTAGAAAATGGAATGTTTTGAGCATACTAAAATCAGGAATATTACGACAAAAAACTACATCTTAGAATATTCAATTAATTGTTGGTGATTTTATTAATATGATTAACTACATTGTTATTGATATTAATAAAACATTAAATTCAGCAAAAAAAAAAAAAAAAATTTCAATTATGCCTATANAAAAAAAATTAGGTTTCTATTTGTAAAAATGTTATGTTCACCATACAAGGAATATTAACTTTGTTTACTGATAATAATAATGCCATATACATGAATCCCTGATGAGAGTTGCCTAAGTTCAGTGTAGATGGTAAAAGATACAAAATCAAATCATAATTTTAGAGAAACTACAAACCAGCAATCTCAAAAATTATAACAGTCTCAAAAGCAAAATCTGCTCTTAAGATTAGCTAAAATTCCTGAATTGTTAAATTTATTATAGCTACTTAACTTAGTAAGCTATTCAGAATTGGTGAAAGGAGAAAGAAGAGCTTCCCCAGGCCTGCAGGCTCCGAGAGGCACCTGCTAATAAGAGTTGTAATACTAAAGTACTGAATTGAGATTATTTCCATGTTTTGGATTACTGGAGTCAGAAAGGCTAATTTCATATATGATATTGTGGGACACGAAGGGAGAATTGCATGATTTCAGTCCTGAATGGTTAATGCTATATTGCATTCAGTCATCCAATTTGACAGTAATGGTTCTAAAAATTTGAAAAGTGTTTGAATTGAGCGTAACACTTAAAAAGATCTGTGAAGTAATATATTATTTCATTAAAAATTTTTTGGCTCTATTAAAATATTATATAAGAATGCAATAAGTTATATAAGGATGCAACATATTTAGTTTATGAAAATAAATGTTAAGCTTATTTCTAAAATTAACACTGTTTACATTAGAATTATCATTAAATTAAATTAATTTACAATGTGCTCAAATAACAAAATTGTTAATTGAATTTTACACAATGCAAATAAAAGTGGAACAAATGTACTTACGTTCTCCCGAAGGATGCAAACTAGAGAACATTTTTACTTCTCCCCCACTATCTCTAACACTGTCTACTAATTCAACAAATAATTTTCGTTTGCTAACATCATTGCATCTAAAGAAAAAAAAAAGCATTTATTTTGAGTTTACTTTAAGAACACTGCATGTAAAATCAATGAGTTATGAATAGGAGAATCAATGAACCCTGAATAGGAATACTGAATTACTCCTATTCAAAATGAAAATAATAAAGTACATTGAGGAAGCTTTATGAAATAAATATGTAATCTTACATATGAACAGTGTTGTCTGCAATTTAATATATAATATAAAAGAAAAATTCAATTTTCATAATTCTAAATTTTAATTTGCAGTTTAATGTTTATTGCTAAATTTTTTAAGGTTTAAAAAAATTAAGAGAAACAAAACAGTCCACAAGAAATAATAGATTTAATGTTTATGAACATGAACTTATGTATGCATAAAAATATTTAAATTAATAAAAGATAAAATAATATGAATACTATTATGCTTTATTATTAATTATATTACATTATTTTGAATTACTTTAGTAGAAATTAGTGCACTCATTTGGAAAATATAATATTTTCAAATCATTAAATAAAAGGGCTATAAATTTAAACCACATATCTATATAAAATATTTGTCATTGACTTAAGAGTTTTGCCAACCTATAAAACACCATACCTCATACCATTTTTTATCACAGTTTAAATTGATAATTCAAAATTTTTAATTTAGAAACCATTGGTTTAAGAAATTATTTGTTTTGACAACTATTATTCAAAAGTACAAACAACCCTATGTAAACACATGCATGTATGTCAATAAATTGGAATTTTCTTTAGTACAAATCAACAATTGGCATATTATGTGAGAAAAAATATGTTATCTCTTAAGTTCAAAAAAATATAGTTAACTTGAAATTTCACGATCAACAAATTTCCAACTTTATTAACGGTGTATTTGTGAATCTCCTGGTTTTTGTAAAATTTGGGGGGTTTGAAAAAATGACTTAATGCCAGGATATTTGGAATCTGAGGAATCAGTACTGAGAAAGGAGGAATTAAATTCATTTCATTGCTGGGCAGAAGAGTTCAAAGAAGATTACTAAGAACATATGAAATCTGAACCAGACAATCAAATAGGTTTTCATTCCCAACTTTAGTGCTTTGTTAGCTTTTCCCTGGTAGATTTCCTTCAATAGCTTCTTCCCTGGCTTAAATAATAATTTACAACCCTTAATGTGCATGTATTTTATTTTACTTAATTACAAGGAATTTGAAACTATGTAATATAAAGGTTGTTTTTAAGGAGCACCCATATTATACATACATATATGCACACACATGTATGCAGTACGTCCTTGAAAATCCAGTCTTTAAAAATCTGGACTCATGACAAGAAAAAAGTTTTCTAAACTCAGAACTAAAAAAAGAAAAAAAAAAAAAATTGCTCTTAATGAAAATTGATTTGCGAGCAATCCACATTATTTTCTGATATTTTTTCAGCCATTTTCACACATTACTTTCAATTATTGTTGCTATTGCAGCACACGCACATTATGAATTTATAGTCAACTTTTATGACATGCTCTATCGATTTTCAATGATTCTATCATAAATCCACATTGTTTGCTGGCCATTTATCATTTTCAGTCATTTTTGCATGTTTTTCTCTCCCAATTTTTAAATTTTTATTATTACAATACCATTATTTTAAATTTGACTTGCTTGGTTTGCAACTATTCGATTGTACATTCAAGTCCTTTTCCGATCAATCTTTTTCTGTGCAGTTATTACGGTTTTTTTGGTCATTCCCACAGATTTTCTAATGCTGACATTCTTCATATAATGTTATTACAACACATGGATTCAGAATATCAAAGTATCACTTTTAACCACAGAGTTTGTAAGGACTCTGTCATAAATCCACACGGTTCGTTTCTAAAAAAAGAAAAAAAGAAAAAAATCATTTTTATGTGATTATTAAAAGGTTTCATATTAATATGATATTTTTGAATTTTAGTTAACTATCTCTTTTTGAAGCACTTGAAAAGAATTTCATGATTCGGTTTAAGAAAACCGGCCTTTTCGGACCATTTAAAATTCCTGACTTTCACGATTTTTGCGTCCGGTAGACACCCTACTGCTACCGGTAAATATAAAGCTAATGTAATTAGCATCAGGAGTCTGCACATGCACATTTAATCAAGGCATAAATTACACCCACCTGAAGATATCTGAACTTCAATAATTCTATTGATTTAAGTAATATACCTAAAATCTGAAAATTTTGGAAATCCCACCTTTCAAACCTGCAAGCAGTCCAGATTTTCAAGGTATAAATACACACATATGTAAATAATGGAATAGGTTTGCTATATAAGTAAATACTTATAGTAAAATTTTGAGGGGTTTAGTACATTGTAGCTGAAAAATTATGCGTTTTGGATAAAGGCACTGAAGACTAACTACTTTATTTAATAAATATGATTAAGAAATATAAATTAAATCCTAACAGCATAAAAAATAAACATATAAACTAAGCATAAAATAAATTTTTTAAAAAATATAAATTAGAGAAATTTTAATTATACCTGAATAATTTATCACTAATAAGCAATGTGTCAATAGCTTGTGCTTCATTAGCTTTTAAAACATGTTTCACACCATAAAAAGCTTTATTTGGTTCAGTCATTAACAAAGAATAAAACTGTTCCATGCTTTTAACTTCTGAAGAAGCTTTTGTGTCTGACAACTTGTTTGCTATAGCAGGGTCAGCAAGGACTTCTAGAATTATAAAATATATTATGAAATATTACGAATAATAAAAAATATTATGAAATAAAATTGCTAAATTAATGATAATAAAATATCTATATAACATAGTTTTTTTTCAAATATTGCGTAAATTATTTTTTTTTTAAATAGAATTTACTTTTGCACAAATAAGTTTGAAAAAAATTTTGAATGCCAAATTTAATAGCCCAATTTTTATTTCAATTAGAACTTTACATTTGTTTTCAAAATCATTTTAAAAATGAAGACTATTGAAATCTTCTGCACTGTAATGAGAAACTGGGTGATAGCACAGTTAAAGTAATATCATGACTGGAGAAATATACAGAATTGGATAATTTTTCAACATTACTGAATTATAATGTATTATACTGAACATTACTGTATTATACTAAAATTTAATAAATATGAGAATTTGGAAAAAATATTTATGAAAAGTACTGTTATAATATGTAATAAAATTAAGTTTCATAACTGATCCAAATATGATTTGATTTAAAAACTGCTAATGTAAAAATTTTGAAATAATGGAAAGTGACTTCTTAAATGCCTTCATACAACATAGTGTCCTAAAAGCTTCTGCATTTATGTAATGAATTTTATCTCATAAAAACAATTTGCCATTCCCTACTTTAAAATTTTACTTTAATTTGATACTGCTAAAAAATAAATTTTCAGCATGCTAACATGCTATGCCTGTTATTTGGTAACCTTGTAGGATGCAAAATGTTAAACTAGACTTTTCATGCAACTTGCTAACTTTAGTCTCTTGAAATCGAACCTGTTTCAACACACACAAACCTGTTCTTCAGAAGTACCTTCTTAGATTTTCACGGTGCTTCAGCCTGATCATTGTTAAAACTAATCAGTGTTGAATCTAAACTTTAGCCTAATCAGTGTATCATTAGCTAATATGCTAAGCATTTCATAGTACAAAAAAAGGGGATCATATTTTTCTTATATTTCAGATATGAGCTGATCGTATTGAAACACTGTTTTCTGATTTTTGATAACTGTACTGTTACTACTCTGAATAAAGAATAAAAATTGAAAAAAATAATAAAGAATAGGAATAACATAAACATATTTTTAAAAAATCACCTGAATTTACATAAAAAACAAAAAATAGAAATTTTAGATGCAATTGTTATAGGGATAGATAAACAGTATTACATACCTGCCAATTCCCCTTTTCTAAAATGATTCTAAGATTTACAATAAAATTGCAGAAAAAATAACTTTTATTCTTTATTACTTTTTTCAATTTTTATTCTTTATTCAGAGTATTAATAGTATAGCAATCAAAATCAGAAAACAGTGTTTAAATACGATCAGCTCATATCAATCTGAAATATAAGAGAAATATGATCCCCTTTTTTTGTACTATTAAATGCTTAGCATATTAACTAATGACACACTGATTAGGGTAAAGTTTAGATTCAACACTGATTAGTTTTAACAATGCTCAGGCTGAAGCATAGTGAAAATCTAAGAAGGTACTAACTTTAATGTACATTTTTAAAATGCAGAAGACTTGAGTAAGAACAGAAAGGCAGAAAATGGGAAGTAAACACAGAAAGCTTCTGTATATATTTTTGGGTGCAAGTTAGAATTTTGTAAAGTAAATAAATAAAATCAATGGTACCTTTTAAAGCATGTTTAAATCCAGATGATGAATGTACCAAGACAAATGCACCTTTATTTTCTAGCAAAGTTTTGTTATCAGTCTTCAACGCTTGTTGAAACATATATTCATAAAATTGGTCCTGTAGAAAAAATATAAATGAAACAATTTGCATTTATTTTTAGTATGAATACACTATAAATAAATTAACAGGAACATTTAAAATAAAATAGAAATATTTAAAAACCAAAATCAATTTGACTTTCTACATTATAAAAATTTCTCATATTTGTCTTATTAATTTATAATGGAATGGATTCCAGTATTATATAAGTTTCTTTGTATAGACCAATAATGCTAATTCAGAAAACCAATTTTGTACAACAATATTTTGCTTAGCAAAGCGAGATTTTTATAATATCAATACTTTACAACACAGTTTTATAAAATGTAATTGGCAAATAACACAATTAAAGCTTGAATAGCTATTATGAACGGCAATAACCGCATCAGAATAATAAATTCAACTAAGCAATCTTAATTATTTTAATATAAAAAATATGACATTTTGACAAAAACAAAAGGGATAGTCAGAAAAGTTTTCAGACTGTTTAGCAAATACTTTTCTTATAAANATTAAAAATTATTGAACCTATAATTTAAATATTTTTGCATAAGACAATAATGCTAATTCAGAAAACAGATTTTGTACAACAATATTTTGTTTAGCAAAGCGAGATTTTTATAATATTAATATTTTATTTCAACAAAATTTTATAAAATGTAATTGGCAAATAACACAATTAAAGCTTGAATAGCTATTATGAACAAAAGCTGCATTAGAATAATAATTTCAATTAAGGAATTTTAAATTATCCCTTATTTTAATATAAAAAATATGACATTTTGACAGAAACAAAAGAGAGAAAAGCCAGAAAAACTTCCAAGCTGTTTGGCAAATATTTTTCTTGTAAACTGGATGGATCTGAGAACAAATCTATGGCAAGGTCATATATGAGGAAAGGAATGGTAATCACAATGGATAATACAAACAGAGAAGAGTGTATATTTCTTCAGTCTATAGCAGAAATATAAAGATAAAATCATAGACAGGAAATATCAACATGTGTAACTAGTTATTACTTCATATTGAAAACATATAATCTTCTTGAAATTTAAAATAGAAAAGGTAGTTTAAGAGAAAGAAAAAATATAAGGAATTGAAGCATGATTAATGAATATTTAAAAGAAGCATACCTTGGATATGAACATAAATATGTTGAATGTATCTCTAAACTAAAAATTAAATTTCAATGTTCAAATCATGTGATTATATTGTTGAAATAAGAAGGAATGATATTTTTGTAGAAGTTAATTTTATAAAAAAAGGTCTTTTTAGGAATATTATCAATTCATGATTTATTAACTGTAAAACAGCTACAGATATCTGTATATATATAAATATATATCTACATCTTTCTATCTATATGCTGACTTGTTATATGAAAATGATAAGTTAACTCAAACTAATTAGGGATGCAAAACAAGCAGGAAAATATGTTAGCAGGAAATAAATTATGAAAGATTATTTAAATAAAGAATACTTTGCAATAATAAATATATTCACATCTTGTTATCTCTAACTTGAAGGGAGCGATAAAAAATTCGAAATACTGAAACCTCAAGTTATTATAAATCATGTTATCAACATTAGAATAAAAAAAAGAATTTTTTTTTTCTTTTGCATAAATTTAACCAATTCTGTACAATCAATTCCATTTAAAAAAAGCTATACGAAAACGTTTTTGTTTGTTTAAAAGAAGGATATATTTTGTCAATGACATTAAGTAACCAATAGCTCTAAGGCATACCACACACTAAGAAAGCAAGCAGTAACAAAAGAGGTATACAGATGGCAAAGGCGAATTCTCATACTTTTGCATTAGCACGGGCACATCACCTCTTTGTACCCCATTGCAAAAGCATAGGTATTCACTATGTGCATGCCTCTTTCTTACCGCTTGCTTCCTAAATGTGTGGCCTGTCTAAATTGTCCCGTTTCTCTGAAAAAATACAAGAAGTTTTAAGCAATATTATTGTCTACTCGCTGATTGTGGACAGTCACTAGGTCATAAATAGATTGAAAAAAATCATTGATTTCCAAAATATTGCCATAGACAAATTTGATTAATTGGCTCTAGTCAATTTTCAGCAAAAGTTCAATGTTCTTAGCTGCCATGTGCTTTGCTATCCATTTGATTTAGTTTATGTAGAGAATTCTTAGCATAATTTTAAACAGTTTTTTTCCTTTTAAAATTTTTGAATTTTATTTATTTGTTAGAATTTTTTTTAATTGGGTAAGAGGAAAAAAAAATCAAACTATTTATCAATAAAAAGCAAAATAAATAAAAAAACAGGAAAAAAGATTTTTCTCCTTCAAGTTATCAATTTTTTTTGTAAAACTGAGGTTGAGATAGCAAGATTTGATTTTATCTTAGTATACCTTTACGAATCCTGGACTGGCAATAAGTACACATTTGACAACTGAAAGAAAATTTTGATAATTAGTTCAATACAAAAATAATAGACATTATTTAACTAAATAAAATTTTAAAAAGATGATATAAACATACCGTCAAAACTGACATGCCTTACAACTGCTTGATAAACAGCATCAAAAAATCGATCCAACCCCTAAAAGAAGCACAAATGTTAATTTTAAAATGTACATAAAATTATTTTAGAATGCTTCAAATTAAACTAGCTGTCACGGGATACAATTGGGTCTCCGTTTTTGGTTTTCAAATTAGTATAATTTCACGTGATTCAAGCTTTAAATCACATAGTTGCATATATTTAGATTTAAAATTATCTGTGAAGGTTCAATATAGTAATTCTTTAAAACTTATAACTTATGCTTTGTTTGCTGCTAGCAATGATTTTAACTTTAACGAGCTTTGTTCATATTTTCCTTTTTTTGTATGCTACTATTTTACATTAAATTAAAAAGATATACATTTTTCAACAATGCTGTTCCAATACCCTTTTTAGACAAAGCTTGCACAAGTGTGTGGATTAGATATTAACCCAATATATGCATTGTGGTATTATATTCCTTTTAAATCAAATTAAAACTGAGTAAAATTTTTCTGCCTTTAGCTATTATTTAAATATTAAAAATATCTTAGCTGCTCGATTAGAAATATAAAATTAGATCTTAAATTTTATAATGTACTCTAGTGCATATGAATTATATATGTACATCAGGAAAAATAAGTACTTTCAAATTGCATCAGGTCCTAAAGGAGTAACTATATAATTTTAAACAATAAAAAATTAAGTTTATTTAATATTGTATGTGAACAAATGGGGATGAAAAAGATTGGAAAACAATTCAAAATGTCTAAGGAGGAAAAAATGCAATTTCAGTAGGTGAATCAACTTCAAAAATACAATACAAAGAAAAGTCACATTTCTAACATTGGGATTCGGGAAAAGATTTACTTTTTCTGACATTTTGTATAAACTACTATTTACAGGAAACTGGTGACTGCAAAAATCTGGAAGCTGCAGAAAAAAAAATCCTCATTGTTAGTCAATCACTATTTAAGAGGAAAAAATTATTCTTTTATAGAGATACTTCTTATTGAGATAACTTTCCTGCTCACAAAGAAAAAAAACTACACTAAGTTTTCTTAAAAAAAATAAAGCTTTTAAATTTACAACAAGGAAAACAGAAAATAATATTTTTTACCTAATAAAAAAGAGTTTAACAAATAGCAAATACAGCATATAATGTGAAAATCTCAATCTAGAAAATTTTTCATCAATATTTATTAGTCAAAATATTCAAGTGAAATATAAATATTAGAAAACACGTTTATTACAGGAGAAATAATGAAGTTTTCAATAAATCTAAACACAATACCTTATCATGTTGTGCACACATGCCTTTTCGTTTACGAGGAATATTTACATCAATTTTGGCACGGACCAGAGTCATATTAGAAGTAACTAAACATACATGAGCAAGACCTTCTTGCATAACAACAGCAGCAAGATCTGCATGTTGGGCAGGATCACAAGCCATTTCTGAAAATAAATAAATAAAATAGATATTCAATAAATAACATGCCTAAAATTTTATTTCAAGATCTTTTTTGAAACATATATATAAATTTGTCAGAATTAGTTGGATAATATAGATGCCATTTTATTGGATTAGTGATAAGAACTTCAGAGTTGACATAAGCTAGGGGTGCACAACCTTTTTGAGTGAAGGGCCACTTGCACAGCAGGTTGGCTAACGAAGGGCCGCAGATGTATTTAGACATGTTAATGACAAATGTAGTAATGTTTATTCAAACATTAGCGTTCCATTTTTTTTATCAATAACCTTAGTAATATCAATAACTTAGTAGTGTTCCATTATTAGAATTCATTCAAAAATAAAAAAAACTTATACTTTTTAAAAAAAAAAAAAAAA